AAAAATGGGGGAAGCCCCCCCCCGGGGGGGGGGGGGTGGGTGGGGGGGGGTTTCCGGGGGGCCCCCCCCCCCCCCCGCCTGTTACAGCACCATCCCTGTCTTCCAATGGATGAGTGAACAATGGAAAAGGAGGCCAGTGCCTCCAGCCTTCCCCAGCGGATTCAGTCTACCCATAAGGCTCCTTGGGACACTCAGTAAGTGTTCCTGGAAGGGGGCTGGCTGTGTGTTAGACACTAGGACCCCTTGGTTCAGGCCTGCCACACAGCTCACAAAGGAACCCTCTGTTTCCTCAGCCATCATCCTGATCAACAAAATGAAACTGTTAGATGGGCAGGGCCATGATCCATGATGGGTAGGTAGTTAAGGAAGGTGCTGGAAGCCAGGTTTATCTAGTCCCTAAAAGTATGGCCTCTGTCTGGGTGCCACCAGACTTCTCTGTTCCTCAGTTTTCCCATATAGTCAGACATGACTGCTGAGCCACTGTCCTGTTTATGTGTGATAAATGACACTAATATCACCCCAGTGTGTGGGGGCCCAGCTGTCATTGATATAGGGCAGGAGTGAGTGAGATATGACCTTAACTTTAGCTTGGGAGTGGTGGTGGTGGAGCTGCTACAGGAATACATGCAGCCCCCAACCCAACCAGAACCACCAGCGGGGTCTCCAAACACTCCAGACTCCCTGGCTATCCCACAGGGACTACAGGCTCCCATTCCTGCTGGAGAAATGACCCTTGAAAGCTGTCCCACAACACTGAGCTCCTCAAACTGGCCTGGAGGATACCAGGTGCTAGGTGAGAGCTGGAATCCCCCGTGGCTGGCATCTCCAAAGCCTACCCCACCCACAACCCATTAACAGGGTCCCCACATGGAGCCTGGGGAATGATCCATTCTTCCTTAGTCAACTATCAAGTAGGTCTAGCCTGTGGTACAGATGGGTAAACTGAGTCCCACCAGGAAAATCAACCATCTCTCTCCCTGGGAGAAGAGGCTAGCCCAACTAGACATAGTTTGGATCTGTTTTATTTTTGTTTTGTTGAGACAGGGCTTCTCTGTGTAGTCCTCCTGGCTGTCTTAGAACTCACTCTGTAAACCAGGCTGGCCTCAAACTCAAAGATCCACCTGCCCCTGTGCTGGGATTAAAGGTGTGCTGGAAGATTCTTTCATCCCAAGGAGTTGGGCCCATTGTGGGAGTAAAACTGGGGTAGAATTTTAGCTCCCCAAATGCAATGATGGAGAAAGGACAGTGGGGGCCAGCATTGCAGGGAAGGGACCATGAGTGTCTTGGCTTCATCATGCTTTACCCTCCATCATCAGCTCCATGATCCTGGCCCCATCCTATCGACCCCTGGGGCCTCAGCTTCTCCACCTGCAAAGGCTGTGGGGCATCTCCACTGCCCAGCGTCCCTCCCATTGGCCACACTGCACATAAGGCCAAAAGAACCTTCTCTCCTTGGTTTCTAGGCCTCCATTTTCCTTCCATGGGTTCAGGAGAGTCTAGGGTGGACGCTCCCTAGGGGACCCAGATGGGGTCTCTCCCTCTCTCAGGCCTGTCTGTGAGCCAGTTAAGTGTGGAGGTGGGGGATTTCGGCACAGGAATTCTGACCTTACCCAACTAGAGGGGTCCCAGGAGTGCATGTCCCACCAAGTCCCTGGTCCCCAGCCTGGAGTTCTCCCACACCTCACCACCGCCCTCCCTGACTTCAGTATGTGGCATGGCTGGGTTGGGGAGCCCCATAAGCTCTGTCCACCTAGGGTTAGGGATGTAGCTTCCCTCTCACACCTGCAGGAGGCCTCTGACCTGTGACTGAGCCCCAAGACCCACTCCTCTTGGGCCACGCCCCTCCCACCCTACATCTGACCTCAGACACCCTCCCCCAAGCTTTCTCTCAAGACATCCAGTCCCTCAGGCACCTGCCCCAGGCTCCGCCCCTATAAGGCCACACCCACACATCTGAAGATGTCCCCACAGCCACTCAGGGTAATTGTGTCTGGTTGATTTCCACCTTGTGTCATCTCTCATGACTCATTGTTCCCCAGTGTCTCCAGGCTGTGTCTGGGTGTCCCCCCATAGCCTGGCTTAGGGGCAGGGATGTCCCAGCTGCATGCCAGGACAGTGCAAGGTCCTGCCAGGTGCCAAGAGGGAGGAGGGGCCTAGTAATGTCAGTGTATACAGGGAAGGCTCTGCCCTTGACATGAGAGATGGCATTTTCTATTTATTGGTTTTAACTTTTTAATTTTTTTCATGTGAAGGTCATTTTTTTAGGGTTTCTCTTGCTATGAGTCAAGACTGATCTTAAACTCCATCTTCCCGTCTGTCTCTCCAGTGCAATTTGTGTTTGACACTCTTTTGTCCTTTCTTTTTGATCCTGTAGCTTTATTTGCATAAATATATACAACATATATTCAGTCAGTCAACAGACATTGATTGAGTGCCCACTGTCTAGGTGGCAGAGACAGGCAGGGATTATGACAGCTCTGGATCTTCACCCTTGGGGCAGAGGTCTAAAGATGAAAAGAAAGAAAAGAAAAGAAAAATCTAGACAAAGGAGAATCAGTTACAGTTAAAAAAAAAAAAAAGCAGGGCGTGGCACACCTGCCACCCCAGCACTTGGGAGGAGAATCCAGAGTTCAAGGTCATCCTGGGCTACATAGCAAGGGCAACCTGGGCTATGTAAGACCTTGTCTAAAAAACAAAAAATGCACGGCTTTCACTTGGGGGGCTGGGAGGAAGCAGATGTTGCTTTCTTTCTGTTGAGAGCTGAGGGGCCAGAGCCATCATCAGGGTCCCTGGGGACCTCGAGACTTGCTGTCCCCCATGCCACCACCCCCTGCCCATGGCAGCTACCGAGGCGGCAGTAAAGGGCTGCGGGAGAGAGATTGCTTCTCTCTGGAAGCTTTGGGTGGAAAAGATGCAGACACAGGACTAGCATACCGATGCCACCACGGCTCCGGGGACTGCAGGGCCCCGCCTGGGTGTGGTGCACCAGATGGGGAGGTCACAGCTCAGGGGAGCCTAGCATTGATCTGCTGAATGTCCAGCTTTAGATGCACTAGCACCTGTCCCAGGCTGTGTCCAAATCCTGGCCCTGGGTTATAAACTTACATGGCCTGCAGCTTTTTCCACGGATTTGGGACTTGAACTTGGCCCTCAGTGTGTAGCAGGCTTACCCACCGAGCCATCTCTGCGGCCCTCAATCTTTTCTCCTCCCTTCTACAGTGGCTCACACTGTAGCCCAGGCTGGCCTTGACCTCAAAGATCCAAATCCTGCCTCTACCTCCTGAGTGCTGGCCACCGACCCTGGCTCATTGCTGGTATGTTTTCTCTAACACCCACCAACTGCTGCAGTAGGGCTCCCTGGGGCTGGCAGCACCTTAGTTCCAGTGGCCAGGTCGGGGTGTCTGGGTGGGGGTGCCTTTCTGAACTCGGGCTCATCCTCAGTGCAGCCAGGCCTCCCCAAAGCAGCGTCTGCCGGTTGGCCCGCCTTCCGCTAGGCAGGGCCAGCGCAGACACAGGGCCCTTTGTATGGTCCACCAGCCTCATTAGGAAGCAGCCCCTGTTGCAGGGCCCAGAGTGGCTGAATTAATGGGATCGGAGCATTGCCTCTCGGCTAATTGTGCCCGAATGCAGTCAATCGCTGCAGGTGACGTGCAGGCGTGGGGCCACCAGTGGGATCACAGGCCCTCTGTTGGGTTACCTATCACCGACTCCCCAGCCTGTCAGCTCCCAAGTGGAGCTGAGCTGAGGAACCCTAGGCCTCCCTTCCCAGAAAGAGACAGAGATAAACATTACCATGGCTCCCACATACCTGAGTCACATGGGGAAACTGAGTCACAGAAATGTTGCCTGGTGATGGAGGTGTCTCAGAACCGTTCATCTATCATGTATGGGGGGGTGTACACATATAGAGGTCAGAGGGCAGTCGTGTGTCAGGCTCCCCTCCCACCGTGTAGAGACAGTCTTTTGTTTGCCTGTCTAAAGCAAGCTCCTCCACCGCTCTGTGCTGCCATGGTGCCGTGACAGGCAAGCACCTTCATGCCAGGCTTTTGTTAGAGAATCAGGGTGATCCCTACCTGCCCTGTACCCTGAGATCAGACAGGAAGTAGCAGGAACTGTGTCCCCAAGCAAGGAACTCCCAGAGCCCCCACACTGTCCCAAATTCTAACACAGCCCTGACAGAGGGAGACCCACACCTTACAGACTGTCTGTCCATTTTATTATAAAAAATACAGACTTCAAAGCTGATTGACGAGGGGCGGGGTCACCCAACTCCCCACCCCTACAAAAGCCCCCCAGCCGCCCCTTGCCACGGCGGCCATCCACAATATATATTTATATAGAATATATATAAAACACAGAGTGAGGAAAGGTGGGTAGAAATCCGTAGAAACGTGTGTGTGGCCAGCTTCACTTGGTCCTTTGCTCTTTCGGTATTTTTGGTAGGCAGCTCCCTTCCTTTTCAGTCCGTCTTTTTTTTTTTTTTTCCCCTTACAAACATTACTAGGTCACATGATCAAGGGGGGGGAGGGCTCCAACGGACAAGGGAAAAAAAAATGAGTTTATTGCAAAGTGTTGTTTATATCCTAAAAAGTCCACCCCTCTTTTCCCCAACCAAAATAAAAGTCCCCTCAAATCGCAGGTCTGAAAAAAAATTTTTTTGAAGAACTTCCATTCTGTCCTCAAGAATACATTAAAATAAAACACAGTACACATTTGCTGGTTTCTATTTACAGAAATAAAACGTCTTCCAGGCCTTAGAGCCGGTTGTGCCTGGTGGCGGGGCCCGGGTTGCGGGGTGGATTGCAGGGCTGAAGGGCTTTCTGAGATGCTGAGGGAGGAGGGCTTGACAGTGGCTAGAAGAGGGGGTATGAGCCCCCAGGGCCCCAGTGAGGGGCTGGCACCATGCACCCTTCCGGGTCAGACAAGTCTGTGGTGGGCTCCGTCGGGGACCCAAATAGCGGTACACAAGGAGTGGCTGGAGATCCTTGGCCCACTCACCCTGCTGGCTTGTTCCAATGTCACCAGCAATATCAGGGAATAAATTAAATTAAAAGAAAACCTTCAAGTCTTCCTGACTGAACTAAAACAACGCTAGGAGGTCTCGAGCTCCCTGGCAACCATAGAGAAAGTGGCTCGGCCTGGATCTCCTCCTCAGGCATCGGACCTGGGGTTGGTGGGCGGCCTCCTCCGGTGGGACAGCACCATGAAAGAGAAGCAGCAAGGGTTTTTGTCTCAGAGGTGGCCACGGTGGGTCCGAGGGACAAGTCGACAGGTCCAGGTGGGGCTGGTGTCCTTGTCCTGACACTAGGAGCCCAGGAGGGTCCACAACACAGGGACCGTGGTGAGGAAGAGGTGGCAGCCGCCCAGGCCACTGCAGGAGCTGTTACTGGTGAAGATGGGCTCTGGGGCCTCATACAGGGTCTCATCTGTGGGGACACAGGTGACAGGGCCTTCAGCCAGGTTGCATTGGGCTGGGCACTCTCAAAGGTCCCAGGCTTAGGGGATGGGGCTGGGACGGGACTCCGTGACCCTCAGTTCTTTGGATCACTTATAGGGTCAAGGGTGGGGTGAGGAGACCTGGGTCCTTCCCATGCCCTTAAAGACACTCACTGGTTGGACGCACATAAACTTTCAGCCGCAGGCAGGGCCGGTCCACGAGGTTGGGAGGTGTGGCAGCTGCAAGAGAGGGCAACCTCCTGGGGGCTCCAAGCTCCCTTCTCCACATTGCTGACCCAACCCATAAAACTCCTAACCATGTGTCAAAACCCAACATACAAAGTCCTAGATTTTCTGGAAGACTCTTCCATGTTTCCTCCATCCAAGCCTGACTCCAACGGCTGAGTTATGTCTCACCCAGTGACAGGGTGAGATTTTATTTATTTACTCCTTTATTGATTTGAGACAGGGCCTCTTTTTTGCAGGCCTGGCTGTCCTGAAACTCTCTTAGACCAAGCTAGCTTGAAACTCACTGAGCTCCCCTGCCTCTGCCTCCCATTGCTGGAATTAAAGGCGTGCAGCACAGCACACAACCGAGGGTGGCATTTTAAAGAAAATAAAAACAAAACAAAATAAGGGCTGAGGAGGTAGCTCAGTGGGTACAGCAAGCACTGGCACTTGTGTTTGGATCCACAGCACAGGCATGTGGAGGAGGCAGAGCAGGAGAGTGGCCTGGCTCACTGCCAGACTCCAGGCGCAGTGAGAGACCCTGGAAACAGTGAGGAAGGACACAGCACCGTCTCTGCGTTCCTTGAGCCTGGGCATGCACATAAACATGTGTACACGAAAACACATAAACAACTCAGATACCTGGCTGTGCACACTGCTGTCCTGGCAGAGGTGGAGGGGAGAGGGACAGGGGACAATGTCCTCCTCAGCTCCCTATGAAGTTTGAGGCTATCCTGGGCTATTGAGGGTGGTTCCTCAGCAGCTTGGACGGGAGCCTGGACTGGGGAGACCTGCAGCCCATTGGACTGACTCCTGGTATGGGGACACCACCTCACAGCCTGTTCACCACCAGCCACCATCCCCCATCCCCCATGCTGGGATGGGAAGATTAAAAAGCACTAAATAAAAATTAACACTGGTTGCGGAAATGGAAGGAATCATCACGCTCTTTATCTTTCTGGAATTCCCATTTCTAAAAGAAAAATAATATTTTTTCTTCATATTCTGGGATTTCATTGTAAACACCTTCTGCCCATCCCCACCCAATTCTTTGAATTAAAAGGAGCAGAAAAACCAGGCGTTGGTGGTGCACGCCTTTAGTCCGGGCACTCCGAAGGGAGAGGCAGGGGGATTGCTGTGAGTTTGAGACCAGCCTGGTCTACAAGAGCTAGTTCCAGGACAGCCTCCAAAGCCACAGAGAAACCCTGTCTCGAAAACCCCCCCCACCAAAAAAAAAAAAAAAAAAGAGGAGGAGAAAGAAGAAATGGAGTTTGGTGTAGTTTAATTTGACATAGCGGGAAGGCAGGGTATCGGCTCAAGACCCTGCTCCGCACTGGGCTTTCTTGAGAGACAACTCAGAAATGGGGATCCCTCCATCTCACCCTCCTCCTTCTCCCAGGGCCGTGGGTCATGGGTTTGGACAAAAGTTGGGAAGGCTCTGTCTGCCTCATTTTCCCACTTGGCTACTTACAGATGTAGTAGTACTCGTGACCAGGACGGAACTCAAAGCCCAGGGAAAAGGGGGTGAAGAGTTGGAACTTCTCTGAGAACTTGAGGGGCCCCCCTGGCGCTGCAGGCCGGTTGCATTCCCAGCGCTTGAAGCCTCGCTGCCGGTGGTCACAGGATGCGTGGCCCTCGCCGTTCACCATGTACAGGATGTACCGCTCCATGCGCTCGGCCGGGGGCAGCGGAGCCCCGTAGTGTGGGCAGTAGATGTCCAGATAGTCATTGATACTCACCTCCACTGTGTAGCCACCACCGTCACCCAGGGTGCCCACCTGAAACCTGCAGGGGGAGGGCTGGTCAATAGTCAGCACCAGGATAGACTGACAAGGTCCACATCCCCACCACCCCTACATGACACCAACTTCAGCCTCAGTTTCCCTGCAAGGAGGCAGAGCTGGGAGGGAAGGGTACCCGATCCCCTCTCAGCCTCCTGCAGGGTTGAACCATCTTGCAGGCATCTAGAGATCAAGCCAATCTTCTACACTGTATGACCCCAGGGTGTTTCTTGCCTTCTCTGTGCAACTTCTTGAGACAGAGTCTCTTGTAACCCAGGCTGGCTTTGAACTCCCAAAGTAGCCGAGGATAACCTCGAACTCCCAATCCTCTTGCCTCCACTTCCTGACACTAGGGATAATGACAGCATTGCACGATCTCTCTCTCAGTTTCCCTGGCTTCCAGCCAATCGAATTCCCCCCACCCCAGTCCTGCCTTCAGCCTCAGCCCAGGCAGTCACCCGCTGTCCCCAAGCTGTCCTCTGGAGGGGGCAGGCCTGACCCAGCTGCATCGTAGAGGATGGAGGTCGGCCTGTGGGCTTGGACAGCGGTTCACTTCCATTTCTGCCTCAGGCTATGGCAGCAGGAACCCTCAGATCTCCCCGAGTGTCCCCTGGGTCCCTGCCAGCCGAGGGGGGCAGAGGGGGCCCTGTGAGAACCTTTATTAGCATATAAAAGCCTGGTAGCTGGGTGTGGGAGGGACTGCCTCAGGCTCCTTCACCTCCCAGTACAGCTGGGGAAACTGAGGCCTAGCTCCCTGCAGGGAATGGAGCACCCCAGTGCATTGGTGCACCCTGGATGGGTGGGATCACTGCAAGGCACTGCGGTGGCTGAGGGTCCGGAGTTCAAGGCCATCTTCAGCCACACAGAGAGTCCAAGACTAGCCTGGGCTACAAGAGACCCCATCAAGAAGGGGGGCGCTGGTGGCACAGGCCTTTAATCCCAGCACTCGGGAGGCAGAGGCAGGCGGATCTCTGTGAGTTCGAGGCCAGCCTGGTCTCCAGAGCGAGTGCCAGGATAGGCTCCAAAGCTACACAGAGAAACCCTGTCTTGAACACCCCCCCCCAAAAAAAAACAATAGCAGGGAAGATAAACTACTCCTGCTGCTCCCAGGCTTCCGCACCGGCATGAGGCCCCAGCATGAACATAAGATACGCATACTGCATGGCTCAACCATGGACTCGAAGATTCTTAGAGCCTCAGTTTTCCACACATTCAGGTGTAATCCTCAGCCACAGGAGAGGTGTGTACACCTTACACTCCCATGATGGGTGACAGGTTCTAAGAGGACCTGTAGAGCACCTCTCTCAGTTTGTACCTTAGTGTCTGGAGTACCCCCGCCCCGCCCCAACACCGGCACACATGCTGTGGGTGCTGGTATCAAACTCAGGGCCTGATGCTCCCAAGGCTCTTTATCTACAGAACCCTCTCCCACAGACAAGGACAGAAAAGGATACTGCCCCCACCCTCTTGTTCCAGAGACAGGGCCCTCACTGACCCTGAACTCACCCTCAGACAGCACTGGTGTTACAGTGGCTCAGAGACAGGCCCAGCCTTTCTCATGGGTCCTGGGGATTTGAACTTGGGTCTTCCCGTGTGAACAGCAAACTGTCTTACCCACTACTCAGCTGCCCTCCCAACACTCACTCCTCATGGACTAAACAGACTAACAGAATTACAGACACTGGTCCTCAGGAGACCATGGCAAAAATCTGCCAGCTCACGGTCTCCCCAAATCCACGGCCAGCTGTTCTGAATATAAACCAGACCCCAGATTCAGAGGTCCAACACCATCTATCTCTCCCTGGCATCTCAAAAGGGCCCATGGTCGCTCCGGGTAGCAACACCTCAGGTCCTGTGTCCCCTGCTCACCCCCTCCACAGAACTGTCTCCACCTTAGGGCCTTTGCACATGACCAGAGCAGTCCTTGCATCCCAGGGCACGGGCCATTAACCACAGTTGTTTTCTGTGTCCTGCTCTGTAACTGTGGCCAACCGACCCCACATACAGTGGTGTTCAATCCATGCTTGTTGCTTGAACAAGTGAATTTTGTAAAAGCCAAGGGTTGGAGGCCTTTGGGATCAACAGGGAACAGTTCCAGGGTGGGTGGGGTGAGGACTCCAGGGGCACCCCTACCCCACCAGATGCGGGTGAAATATTCCCTTTTCTTTTTTCTCTCTTTGGCCCTAAATTTGTACCAGTCTTGCAATGTTAGCATTCCTGGTTCCAAGTAGATGAGTAGCCAGGAGCCAGCACCCTACCCTTGCACCAGCTGGTGTCTGCAAGGGTGTTGGGAATGGTGGGGGCCCCACCCCTAAAACAACAACTGTGGAATCAAGACAAAGCTTGAATCTTCCCTCTGCTTAAAGATACAGAAAAGCAAGCAGATGGAGAGAGATACATTCACTAAGGGGTTAATGACTGTCCTGAGACTTCTCACACCTAGGCCTTGGTCCCTGGTGTCCGCTCCTTGAAGCAATCTTTCTACCCTATGATCTTGCCAACTTCTCTCCTGGGGATCCACGTGAGCTGGTGAGAGGCACATGGGGACGTGTAGCCCAGCAGGAACCACGACCATCCAGTGTTCACTTCAGATACAACGACACAGGGAGAGTCTTATAGACCATATTAGGACGATGCTGGACCATGTCTTCTGCCCATGAGGACAGGACACAGGGACCCATGGGGTCCCCTGCAGACCAGCCTGCAAGAGAGACTGGGGTCAAATCTGCATGAAGACAAGAAATGGCAGGACCCAGGCCTCACGTATCCCATGCTAGTCTCTAATTCACTCTAGCTGAGGATGACGCTGAACTCCTGATCCTCCTGCCTCCACTTCTCCAGTGTTGGGATGGTGGGCCTTCACCATCATGCCTGGTTTCTATGGTTCCAGGATGGAACCCAGGGCTTCCTGTGTACTGTGAGCCCAGACCCAGACCTTTTACTTACTTATTTATTTATTTGGAAGCAAGGTTTCATGTCGGTCAGGCTGGCCTGAACTTACAATAATCCTCTGCCCGTTTGATACCCAGTTAGCAGATGGCCCATCTACTACCAAAGGCACTCGTCTTGTCTCTGGCAGTGGCCTCAGTTTTCCTCTGAGCACCTCGATCATCTCTTATTCTTCAGATCCACACAGGCACTCAATAGCTCTGCCACTCCCCAAAGGTCTGCCAACCACCAAGTCCTCAGAACCAAACCATCTGGCCCTTGCCGAGCACTCCATGCACCCCTAATCTTGGAGGACAATCTCTCTCTCTTTGTTTTTAGAGACAGGGTTTCTCTGTGTAGCCCTGGCTGTCCTGGAACTCCCTCTGTAGACCAGGTTGGCGTTGAACTCACGGAGATCCCCCTGCCTCTGCCTCAGCTGGCGTTAAAGGTGTGTGCCACCACTGCCTGGCAGAGCACAATCTCTTGCAAAACACAAAGACTAACACATGGCCAGGTCCACTTCAGGCAGAGTGAGGCTGGCAGAGCCCGAGACAGGACCCAGCCACACTCTGCTACAGAGAACGCGCCTGCCTCAGAAACCAGGCCTGGACCAGCGTCATCATCTTCCTATTCAGGTGTCCTGGTGAGTGACAGACAGCACTACTGCCTACATGGAGGTCACCTGGCATGGGACACCAGATTGCCCCATTCCCAGAGCCTGGCCAGGCTCAGCAATGTCTCAGAGGTGGGTGACATCTGCAGTCATCTCATGTGAGGCTTGCTTTGGATCCTCATGACCCATCTGCAGGGAAGACCCACAACTGGTAAGACCACTTCTGTGGATGGCCCTGTGGCTGCCGGGCCCACACCAGCCCTTGGCACACTCCACACATGGGTGAGGCTCACACCCCAACACACACTCTTACATGTATGCCACATGCAGATCTGTGTGTACACCCGCACTCTAGCTTATACATACACGTTCCCTTGTACAATCATGCGTACAGGAAATCACCCCAGCTTGGGATGCTGTATTACATACACACATGCACTGCGGCAGCCAGCTCCATGCAGACACATACTCTGGGTCTCCCGGTGTTGTGGATGAGAACATGCACCCACATGCAAAGCCACAGGCCACTGCGGACTCCGTGAACACTGGTACATGAGCTGCTGGACAAAAGCCACGAGCTGCGGCTAGGCCACAGATCGGCTGAGTGGTTCATGCCCGGGGTGGGGCGTCCCAGTCAGCCCCCGACGAGCAGGAGATAGCTGGAAACAGGTCTAGAGACCCCCAGAGGTCAGGGAAGGGTGTCCAGCAAGGTGGGATGGTCAGACAGACCTGAGCAGGGGCTTTTGGGGGTGCCTGGGAAAGTGGGTGCGGGGCTCCATCCATAAGCCCCATTGTGGGTGTCCAGGCTTCCCTGAAAAACCACTGCCATAACAACCTTTGGGCAGATGTGGCTGGCCAGGTGGCAGAGAGCATGGCTAGCCATGTGTGCGTGTGTGTGTGTGTGTGTGTGTGTGTGTGTGTGTGTGTCCTCCTAGTCACGCAAGCGTCATGTCCTACATGAACATGGGTACTCTGGAACAGGTCCACCCCACCCCCACTTCTGTTCACAGTGTCTTTTGTGTGTGACCTGTGTTCATGTTCAGGGTCCCAGCACCCCCCTCATCGCCTCTGTTTAATGTCAGACCCCCCATCCTGTGTCACACACCAGGCTGGGATGTCGATCTTGCTAGCTCCCCAGACTGTACCCCCATACCGAGTCCCCTAGGATGCCCGCCCAAAATTGTCCCTGTACAAACCACCCATTAACACCCATTGAATCGTAAGACCCCACAGCATGTGCTGTATCAATGACAAGGTTCTGTGGCACAGCGGTTATCTGTCCTCAGGCCCGACTGTGGGATGCCCAGCAGGGTTACCCACAGAAAAGAACCCAACGAATAGACAGGGACCCGAGGAGCCCTTCACTCTCTCTCTCTCTCTCTCTCTCTCTCTCTCTCTCTCTCTCTCTTGTTAGCTCTGCTACCTGTCTGGCAGGCTATCCTCTCACGGCTATCCTCTCACGTAGCCTGTCCCAACACACAGCAACAGGAGGTGGCTAGCCTGAACTGGACCCTGGTGGTGATGGAGGATCCCTCTTTCCTTCCTGAGCCAGGGTTCCAGCCTGCAGCCCTGTGTCCCCATGGTAAGTGGGGACATCAGGGGCGGCCATGACCCCTTCTCTTGGTCCCCATATCCCCCCCTTCCTTTTTTTTTTTTTTTTTTTTTTTGTTGTTGTTTTTTTTTTCCAGACAAAAGACAGGCCACGCTGGGGACAGAGACTCTGCAAGCTAAAACCAGAAAACTTAGGCCAAGGAAGCGCAGCTCACCCGGCTCCCTGCACGGCCACTGAGTCTTAATCAAACCCACATGTGACCAGCATAGCGGGCGTGCATTGGGGGGGGCACTAAGAGGTGGCCCTGCCAGGTCCTGCAAGGCCCTGAGGTCCCTGCTCTCAGCCCTAGGGAACCAGACTCCATAGCCCTGCCTTGGGGCAGGGGACTGTCAGAGAGCTCCTACCCCCATGGAGAGACACTGGTGGCCCTTGTCCCATAGCGCGCCTCAAAGACCAGCTTTTATGCAACTTTCCATCCATGGATCAAGAGGGCATCCTGGCTGATGTAGCCGGATTAGCTCCTCACCGGCAGCACTACACTGCACCCAAGCCTCAAAAAGCCCAAAGCTGGTCTCCCAGGAAATCCTCTAGACGGCACCCACCTCTGAGACCCTGTAATAATCCAGAAGGTTGTACACTGCTCGGAATGTGGTCAGTGGCTACCAAACTTTTCTCACTCAGCCTGTAACAGAGGTTTCTGCCGTGTCCCTGACTCTACTCAGTGTCTGGCAGGGTTTGACCCACAGGGTGCCGCTGGACAGGCAGGGCCGGTGCCTCTGCTGGGTGTGGCAGGCTGGGCACTCAGCTACCAGGGTCTCCAGTCCTAGCTCCAATTCTCTGGCCATGACCTTGAGGCAGCACCTTCTTGCACCCCCTCCTGCACCTCAGTTTCCCCAGCAGCTAAAAAGGTGTAAAACGATATACCCAGGTTGCACCCCTCAAACTGACCTCTACCTCTTTGGTGCCTGGGGTACCCTCTGTTCCTCTAAAGTGTCTGGGGAATTGGAGCACCCCCTTGGAGCAAATGGAGGGGTAGAGAAGGGACGTTACAACTTCCCCAAGTTCATCTGGGGACCCATAGATAAGACTCTCGGAACCTGTCCCAAAAGATCCACGTCCGGGGACTCGGCGGGTGTAAGGGGGGTCCCCAGGGATCTCCACCAAATCCTCAGCCCTCCAGGGTGCTCCCTCCTCCAAGAGGCCAGGGGTTCAAGGGTGTCTCCCCCGTGCAAGTCCAGCGAAGGAACTCCAGCGTGTGAGGGCGCAGAGGGCTTCCCCTAAAGTCCAGGAGCCCTGGAGGGAATACTAGGCACCCATGAAGTTCAGGGGGAGGTCTGTGCGTTGCAATCCCCAGGACTAGAGTTCCCGGGGGTCCCCCCTCCGAGCTCACCTGGGGTTGCTGCGGTTCCA